TAATAATAATAATAATCAGTTAAACCAATGCGGTCAAACACAAATGTGTTCACAGTTTGTAATGTTTTTATTTCTGAGTAATCTTTGAAGACCAGGATCTGCTCTGTGTCACCAGGCAGCTCTGAACATGTTGACTCGCTGTCAGGCTGAAGACCTCAGCAGTCAGAACATCCTGGTGATGTGCATCCACCCCGGCTGGGTTCGCACTGACATGGGAGGAGAAGAGGTGAGGGGATCAAGTATTTACAGCTGTTTATTAGCTAAAGAAAGGTAAAAAATAATTTAATTCATTCCCTAACAGAATGCTTATCACCCGCTGCCTTTCAGGCCAGAGATCATTTTATGTTAAGAAATGAGTGCTGAGCTGTAGCTGCTTGAAATGCTGAGGAATCAGTTTGATTAGAACTCATTCTGGACTTTGTGTTTGTCAGTTACTCTCAGCTGCATCAGATTTAAGCTCAATATCAGTCAAATGACCTGAGTTATAGTTATTTTTGTATTGACTAAATGCGGATTTGATGTTGTCATATTGAATGGACTCCATCCATCCATCCATCCATCCATCCATCCATCCATCCATCATCCATCCATCTCTTGGTCCAGAGTCAGGTCTTGAGGGCGGCAGCTTAAACAGAGAGATCCAGACCTCTCTTTCCCCGGCCACCTCTTCCAGCTCTTCTGAGAGGATTCAAAGGCGTTCCCAGGCCAGACAGGAGACATAGTCTCTTTAGCAAGTCCTGGGTCTTCCTTGGGGTCTCTCCCAGTTGGACAGGCATCCAGGAGGCATCCTAACCAGATGCTCAAGCCACCTCATCTGGCTTCTCTGGATGTGGAGGAGCAGCGGCTCCACTCTGAGCCTCTCCTGGAGAACTGAACTTCTTACCTTATCTTCAGCCTACCTGTGGAGAAACTCATTTCAACCTTTTACAGTATATCTGCACTCTTGTTCTTTCAGTCACTACTCAAAGTTCTTGACCATAGGTGAGGGTGGGAACGTAGACTGAGATGTAAACAGAGTTTTGCCTTACAATCTCGTGCTCCATTATTCTTTATTAAAACTCCTCCACTGGAGGCAGAATCTCACTCCAAACCCAAAGAGAACGATCCACCATTTTCCACCTGAGGACCATGGACTGGATTAGGAGGTGTTGGTCCTCATCCTAGCTGTGAACCTGTCCAGTGAGAGCTGAAAATCATAATGCATTGACGCCAGCAGGACCATATTTTCTGCAACTAGCAGAGAAGGAACCCTGAGGCCACCGAACCGGCCTCCCTCCACCCCCTGACCGCACCGAGAGATTCTGTTCTTAAAAGTTGTGAATAGAATCTGTGACAACAGGCAACCCTGGTGGAGTCCAACTCCCACCAGCAGTGAGAACCAAACTCTCACACCGCTTGTATAAGGACTGAATGACCCGTAACAATGGACCCACAATCCCATAATGTACAGTACTACAGGTACCTCAAGGAACACGGACACATACCTTCTCCACGTCCACAAAACACATGTAGACTGGATTTAAACTCTCACCACCCCTCGAAGACCCAGGTGAGGGTAAAGAGCTGGTCCAGTGTTTCATGGCCAAAACTGAACCACGTTGTTCCTCCTGAATCTGAGGTTAGACCATCAATCTGACCACCTGCTTCGGATGTTATCATCCATTAAATGGACGTTATTAGTTGTTTTCCATCCCATAGAATGGCTTCAGACTTTCAGCTGGTTAATATGAGGCATAAAGCCACTAAGGTTAATTTTAGAGAAAATGACATGGGCTATGATAAAGTAGACCGGACTCCGGCGCATACATGTCAACCTCTTTGGACGTTTCCCTGTCGGTCTGTCGGCTGCCGACATGAAGGCGCCTGCTGCGAAGCTGGAGGAAAGGAGAGCGGAAAAAGTTCAAAACTTATTTCTAGTAGCAGAACAGGTTGGAAGATGGCTGTTTGATGTTATTTTTTGTTTTTTAAATCATCCTACAGGCTCTGACATGTCAGATAAACATGTTAGATAAACTTGAAAATGAGGTTTTGAAAAAATTCGAAAGACTTGAAAAAACCTGTGAGATTGCTCTACACGTCCGTATACCTGCAAAATGACGTAAAATCCTTATAACTTAAGGACAAACCGTACAAGTTGACATGTATGCCAGCGGTAGCAGATTGTTGCATTCCAATGTATATGGCACTGGTAACCCACAAGGGGGCACTGTCGGGACAGTCTGAAGCCATTCTATGGGACTGATAACCTGCTAGAAGGCACACAGTCGGGACAGACTGAAGCCATTCTATGGGACTGATAACCACTAATAACGTCCATTTAATGGACTGATAACATCCGAACCGGCTGATCTGACTCTCTTCTCCATCACCCCTGAATAGACCTTACTGTGGAGGATAAGAAGAGCATTTCCCCTGTAACTGGAGCACACCCTCTGGTCCTCCTTTTTGAAGAGGGGAACCAGCACCCCAGTCTGCCAGTCAGTGGCACTGCCCCGATGTCCACACAATGTTGCAAAGATATGTCTCAAAGACAGCCCCACAACATCCAGAGCCTTGAGGAAACCAGGGTGGAGGTTTTTAACTACCTCGGTGACCTCAGTTAAGGACTGATCAACCGTGAAGTCCAAATATTATTATTGTTTAGTTTAAAGTTAGTGTTTGTACTTTTTATTGATGGACTATTTTTAATAAACTCTCCTGTTTGTTTCTCACAAAGGCTCCTCTCAGCTCTGAAGACAGTGTTGTTGGTATGCTGCGTGTGATGTCATCCCTGAGCAGGAAACACACCGGGACGTTGCTGGACTGGGAGGGCAACACGATTGCCTGGTAGCAGTCACCAGAACACCGGACCACCCGGAAACAGATTAAAAACTATCAATTCTGAATTCATCTTCATTTTTGTCTCAGACATATTGGAAATAAAACAATTTAAATCATTTTAAAAAGTCAGTCAGACTCAGACGTTATTTGTGTTTTTAATCAGAAGGGTCCAAATAAATCTGAATTTTAAAGTCTCTTGCAGTAAATACAGAGTTTGTTAACGTTGTGTTTTGGTTTTAACTCCTCACTGGAGACTTTGAGAACTGTTATTAGTTCATTAAAAATGTCATTATAGATCTTTAAATTTATTTTTATGATTATTGATGTCAAATCATGTAAGTCATAGAAACAGCCTATAATGTTAACATCAGGGTAAAACAAAAAGGCATCAAAGGAATGCATTTCTCCCACGACCTCTCCTGACAGTTTTAATACAAAATGGCTGCCACAGCTAATGACGCTCAGCTAACACCACATGAACTTTACCTCATTGTCTGTAATTAGGAATGTGTTGACAGAGGAAGATAAACTTCTGTACACATCTTGAAGTTGAATCCAAACATCCATCAGCCGAGATCCAAAAATTATTTTCTCAAAGTTTCATCATCAGTAATCAAATCAAATTTATCTTTAAAGCACATTTAAAAACAAAGACGATTGACCAAAGTGCTGCACTTCAAATAGTGACATCAGTTTAAAATAGGATTGAGATCAGGGCTTTGTGTTGGCCAGCCACTTTGGCTCACTGTCTGTGTGGTATCCCCAAGCATCCTGGCTGATGTCTTGAGAGGCTTCATTATTTCCACATAATGTTCTTTCCTCATGATGCCATGTGTTTTGTGAAGTGCACAAAACAACCCCACAACATAATGCTGCCACTCCCGTGTTTCACAGTCAGGATGGTGTTCTCAGGCTTTTTCATCCAAACGTAACAATGGTCACCAAGGCCAAACAATTCAACTTTAATTTCATCAGACCACAGGACATGTCTCCACACATCAAGGTCTTTGTCTCTGTGTACATTTGCAAATATTAATCTGTCTTTTTTTAAGTTTCTTTTGAAGTAATGGTTTCTTCCAGGCAGAATGGTCTTTCAGCCCATGTGGATACAGAACTGGTTTCTCTGTGGATAATGATTCTGACCAGCTTCAGCCAGCATCTTCTCCAGCTCCTTTGCTTTTGTTCTTGGATGTATGTTTCAGACCAAAGCTTGTTCATCTGTGGGACACAGAACCGGTCTTTCCCATCTGGTCTGAACTTGTGTATAGTTGTTTGTACAGATGAACGAGGCACCTTCAGGAATCTGGAAATCGAACCCAAAGAAGAACCAGACCTGTGCAGGTCCACAGTTGTCTTTCTGATATGTTGGCTGACTTCTTTTTACTCTCCCATGATACCATACCACACCACTTTTATTTATAAAGCACTTTAAACWGCACAAGGCCAACCAAAGTGCTGTACAGTAGACAGACACAACAGGACATAGTCAAAATTATAGTCAAATTATGGAGCATTTATATTTGCAGTACACATAGAACAGAGTTATGATACACAAAGAGGTTTTGCACCATCTCACTCAGACTCATAGGCAAGACAGTGATGATGTTATACAAACAAGCAGTGTGTTTCAGGTGTTCCACAGGTGTGTCTCTAATTAACTCAGATGTTATCAATTAACCTATCAGAAGCTTCTGGAGACATAAATAGTAAATGAATGGTACTTATATATCACCTTTCTATCCAACCAGAATACTTAAAGCACTTTTCACTACAATCTGTGCACACAGACCTCTATTAGATCTCTACTAAGTTAATACAGATAAATCAGTCTATGGAGACATCAGTGCTTTAAATCACCACGCTCACACTGAAAGGACACATCAGAGGCAGTGGGGATTCACTGTCTTGCCCAATATGACTGACTGGTGTGAAATCGAACTGCCAACTCTCTGGTTAGAGGATGATTCCCTTAACCAGTCATCCACAGCTGCTCAAACATGACATCAAATGTCCCAAAATGTTTGAAGTCTTAGTAATCTTAGTGTATTTAAACTTTTGACTTTGAAGGAAGTTATAAAAGTTGCCTTAAAAATGATTATTTTATTATTCTGATATTTAGCAAATAGAAAAAACAATATTAATCGTAATTGACTTAAATATAGTGTATGTAAACTTCTGGTTTCAACTATATATATATATAGATATACATATAAACAGACCAATTTCTTAAATGAAGCATTTAAATTTACTGTGAGTAAAATGTAAGTTCTGTTCTGGGCTCAGTTAACCAATAGGATTAGAGTCCGGTGAGGTGGTCCAAACATCTCACTAGAATTTCAACTGTGGAGGTTTTCCTGGCGACTGGGGGGAGATCCCAAAGCAGACCCAGACCTTTATAGAGGGGTTATGTACCCGTGTGACCTGGGACTGGAACGTGTGTAGGTTTCTCTCTCTACTGGACCTGTTGCTCCTGCAACACGACCATGAAATAAATTTATTTAATTGCATTAGAATTGGGTTGAATTGATGGCAAATTGAATTGTAATTAGGACTTTTTTTTGGATGCAAACAAAGATTGAGTAAATAAAAGATTGTGTATTTGTAAATGAAAAAAAAAAGGCACTCTGAAGTTAAACTCTTTATTTTATTTGGCAAAAATGTTAAAACGTTTGAAGAATGAGCTGGAAACTCTTCATCATGGTCTTCCTCCTATTCAAAAAAAAATCAGTAGGTCCTCTGGATGGGTTCTTCTTTAGTGAAATGTTTCGTCTCTCCTCCAAGAGACTTCTTCAGTCTGATGAGTTTCAGGTGAAACTCAGCCTTATAAGCACTGCCTCCACATGGTGGACAAACAGGTTAGTCATATGCAAAAGAGGGCCATCGACTAACAATAGGCTTGATTGGCTCTATTGTTCATAGAGGGTCATGTGCCCCATCACCTGACTTACTGGTTTGGATGCTTCAGCTGTGGTTATTTGGTGTCGTGTTATGTGCATGTAGTGAGTGCAAGCGGGGCTCGACATCCCCTTTTTTGTGTCTCTTTTTCCCTCTTTGTGTTGGTATCATTGGGGCCCTGATTCACACCATTTGCTCACAGGGGGCTGAGTCATACTTGCAATAACAGCATTGTAGGAGGAGGACAACTGTACTGTGGACACCCCTGTGAGCAAAAGGTGTGAATCAGGGCCCCAATGATACCAACACAAAGAGGGAAAGAGACAAAAACAAGGGGACGTTGAGCCCCGCTTGCACTCACTACATACACATAACACAACACCAAAAAAACACAGCTTAAGCATCCAAACCAGTAAGTCAGGTGATGGGGCACATGAACCTCTATGAACAATAGAGCTAATCAAGCCTATTGTTAGGTGATGACCCTCTTTTGCATGTGACTAACCTGTTTGTCCATGTGGACGCAGTGCTTATAAGGCTGAGTTCACCTGAAACTCATCAGACTGAAGAAGTCTCTTGGAGGAGAGATGAAACGTTTCACTAAAGAAGAACCCATCCAGAGGACCTGCTTAGTTTTTCTTTTGGATTTTTTCTACGTGGATTACTGAGATGCATCAGGACGTCTTTTTGACAAACACTTACTTTGATCACCGGCACCATGCTGAGCCTGGGTTTGACCACATTCCCAGTTTCCTCATTCCTTCAGGTGGACGCAGAAAGAAAGACGCCGAATATGACCAAGTCAAATAAAAACAAAATGCAGATTTAATGGCATTTGATGTATTTTAACACTTTTTCAAATAAATGCCTCTTACAAAACAACATAGGTACAGCTAAAAAAAAGCATCTGAGATGGCTCCAATCAGATTTTTAACAGCTCCTGCAGCGGTGGAGTGTCTTCGTTCACTGAGACACACGACCGACATTTGAGTCACTGAGGAGGAAGGAGTTCAGCCTTACTACAACAGAGTTCATGTAGAGTTCAGACATCCATAACGAGGAGGACACGAGGCCGTATTTATACAGAATATTAAGAATTCTTGATATTTTCTAAAAACAACACTTAGGTTTTCATATTTTCTTTCTTAAAAGAAAAAAAACTAATTCATTTCATTTATATAGTGGGATTTGTTTATTTTTCTGTTTATCTCATTGAACAGGTAACTTAAATATTTACAGTGATTACTTTACAGCCAATGGCCCCGCCCACTTAGATATGATGTTTAACGATTGGTCAGGAAGGAGAGAGGAACGGTTCCTGTGATGAAGGATGGGTCTGATCCCAGACATGGTCCAAAACTGCCAGGACTCCCAGACCACCAGGACCCTGGCTCCCAGACCACCAGGACCCTGGCTCCCAGACCACCAGGACCTTGGCTCCCAGACCACCAGGACCCTGGCTCCCAGACCACCAGGACCCTGGCTCCCAGACCACCAGGACTCTGGCTCCCAGTCCACCAGGACCCTGGCTCTCTCAGACCTTCATGCTACATGTCAGGAGGATAAGAGGTGGAAAGTATGACCGTGTGGAGCCATGCATGTGGTCCAGCTTGACCCTGGTTCCCCTCCCCTGTCCTGCCGGGGTGCAGACTCTCTGTTGTCAGTTTGTGTTCCTGTCTGAGTCACCCCCCCCC